GCATAGCACCCTACACAAACTCCCCTCCCTTATCAAAAATACAAGTCCAGGTGGGCATAGATACTGGAACCCTGGAATATTGACAGCAAGAAGCCCTGGGCCAGGAGATTTAAATGGGAAAGGGGGTGCTTTCCATAGAAGGGAAGGTTAGGGCTCATCTTCAGTGGGTGACCTTTAGAGCAGCTGGCTGGAAGTTGTGAGAGCCATGGGGGCACCTCTTGGGATCAGAGGGACCAGAGAAGTTGAGCTGGCATCTGAGGCTGTGGGCTAAGTGGGGTGGGGGTGGGGGAAGTGCTGTTTTGGGAGGGGTTGGAATTGGGGCAAGGATGGGGGAGAGTGGAAGGGAAAGAAAAGGCAGCTACATTGGGCCCTGCGGTTTGAGACTGGAAACGTGTTTGACGAGATGTGTGAATGTGTGTGTGTGTGTGTGTGTGTGTGTGTAGGGGAGGGGGGACGAGTTTGACAAACAGAGACAAAGAAAGAGAGAGACACAGAGAGAGTGAGAGACAGAGAGATGCAGACAGACAGAAACAGAAATAGAGAGTCACAGTGAGACAGAGATAAAGAGGGAGAGAGACTGACAAACTGACAGAGACAGGGGGCCGGAAGAACAGAAACAGAGACAGGCAAACAAAAACAGAGAGGCAGAGAGACAGAGACTGAGGCAAAGGTAAGCAGCACTGGGACAAGGGGGTGGGTGGCATCAGATAAAGGTTCTTTTCCCAGGGGCAAGGTCTGTGCCAAGCAGAATGAATCTGGGAATGGCTCTCCAGGGTGGATGGGAGCCCCGACATGAAGGCGGGTGGGAGGGAGGGAGCGAGTCCCAGGGCAGCGGCAGAGGCCGGGGTGGGGGGCTGTGCTTCAGGCCCTGTGGCTCAGCCCTGGAGCCGCCTGGCACCCGCAGGAATGCGGCTCTTCTCGGCTCCCTGGGCTGCCTCCGTCTCCACTCGGAGGGAGCAGTGGCGAGGGGTGGGGAGGGCGGGGGTGGGGGGAGGAGGGAAGAAGAATAAAGAGCAGAAAGAAAAAAGAAGCCGAAAGGAGTCCAGCCCAACCCAGCCTAGCTGGGGAGGAAGGAACAAAAGGTGGTTCATCCGATCCCTCTCGACAAGATTTGGGGTATCGGAACTAACCCTGCTCCAACCAGATCGTCTCGGTGGAGCTCAGCTCTGCTGCTCCTGGTCCGCTTCCCGCACCCCCTTTTCAGTGAAAGAAAACCGAGGAGGCTCTGCGCTTAGGGGAGAAGGCGAGGGGGAACCTTTCTGCCCCGCCCCCCACGCTTTCTGCACAGTAGGCTTGAAGAAGGAGCAGCAGAATCTGGGCAGGGGGATTGCACCCCCTCCCGGCGGGGTCCGTACCAGGACTCCCACCCACCCTGCAGCCGCAGATTAGGGGCAGCTAACGACGTAACTGGGTTTTTTCTCCCCCTCACATTGTACCATCAGCCTCAACACACACCGCGTGCGTTGGAGACCAAAACCCCTTCAGACCAGCTGGAAGGGAGGAGGGGAGATAATGAAAGATCGAGAGAGACACGAGAAGAGACAAAAGGAGACAAAGAAGAAACACAGACGCAGAAAGACCAACCAGGAGGAAGCCAAAGACACAGAGACAGAGACGGAGACAGACGGAGAGGACGAGACAGACGGAGAGGACGAGACAGAACTCCACAGACGCAGGGACCGGGAGCGAAGCCACATCCTGGCCATATTTTGGGAAGCCGGCTTTGCTGCCATCGGGTTATTTTTATGTCTAGTTGCTGGAGACTCCAGGGGCCCCAGGTCCTCGTGGAGAAGTCTCACTGTCCCTGCAGGCGCTTCTGCCGGGGTATTTTCGTCCGCCGTTCGCGGACTGTGCCAAAGAAATGGGGAGAAAGGGAGCTACAGGAATAGGAGAAGGAAAACAAAGCAAAGCAAAGCAAACTCAAAGGAACCACACCAACCCCCAGAACAGCAGAGTCACCCTTTGGAACCTTCCCCGGAGTCCAAGTTAGGGAAGTGCCCAGGTGGCCTGGCTCGGAGCTGACTGGCCTCGCCATTGGGCAGCTCCCGAGAAGCCGCGGGCTCCTCAGCTCTGTCTCCCGGTCACCGGAGGTCGCCCTCCCAGCAGCAGCCAGCAGCACCCGAGCTTAGGCTAGGAAATGCACCCCTCTCCTGCCCCTCCCCCTTTCTTTGTGCCTCGGAAGAGCCCAGAGCAGAGGGAGTTCAGCCTAAGTCTAAGAAGGAGTAGAAGGGAAGGATAGAAGGCAGAAGGGGGGGCTGATTGTGTGGAGGGCAGGGGTGGGGACGGCGTTGGAAAAGCTGGTGCCCAAAGTCACAAACGGAAGGCGATTGGTCACATCAATAAGTGCAACGTTTGGAGAGCTGTACGTCCCACGCGGGACCACCCACACCATCGCACCCATGCACACTCGTAGCAGACAACAGGGCCCGTGCAGACTTCAGGTGCTCAGCCAGCCCGGAGAGAAAAACGGAGTTCCACCTGCTGTGTACCATAGTAATTCCCTCCATCCTTCCCCATCGTCGGGGGCGGGCGGGGGCGGGACAGCCTGTGTCCTTCTTCCTCGCTCTCACAGAGTGTCCCAGAGTCAGGTCCGAGTTTGGCTCTGTCCAGGACGTCATCGGGTCACTTGGTTCCGGGGAACCGAAGAGGGGGCTGCTCCCGATGGGCCCTGGGCAACGCGGACGGCTGAGAGTCAAGGTAGAAGTTGGCTCTCAGGTTTTGCGAATGGATTTCTGTGAACCCACTTTCTTACTGTGCTGCCTGGGCCTCCAGGCTTCCTGCACTCCCGACTAAGCGGCTAGAAGGCCCGACGTCCAGGCCAGCTAATAATACACTTAACTAACTAAAAAAAAAAAAAAAAGCAAAATGAAACAAAACTGGATAAAATCGAACCAAACCCCAATTTGAGAGTCTTGGTAGCCTTTACTTAAACCAGGTTGGGCCAGGAAGCAAAGTTGAGAGAGACTGGGTCAGGAGGTGGCCCAGCTCACAGAGAGGTAGGGCTGGGGCAGCAAGGCTTAAATGTTGAGCAAGTAGGAGGTAAGGGCTTTGGCGCTTGGGCTCATCACCATCAAGGCTGCAGTCAGCCTTTCAGGCCCTGCTTTCCCAGTTCCCAGAACCCCAAGGGGGCTGGGTGTCTTTCAAGCTCTAATCCTAACCACTACTAACAACAGCCATCAACCAACCTACCAAACAATCACCCAAGGACAGCTACCCTTGCCAGCCCTCGTCATCCAGGGACTGGCTGGCTTCCTCAGAGCCAGCTCTGAATTGGCGAATTTACAGCTCCAAGTCTCTTTTGCTAACAGGGAAACAGCAGGCAAAATAGGACACAACTGGTGCCAGGCCCAGGTAGAGACTGGGAAATGTCTGAGCCATCTCCGTAGACTGTGCAAGAGCGAGGATCAGACCTAGTGACAGAAAAACAAAGGAAGACCGACAGGCAGGCAGACAGATAAAGATGGACAAAATGATAGACGACAAGTAAAGACAACAGACAAGCGGACAGACACAGCCCAACAGAGAGACAGACAGATACAGAGGTGAGGGGGGAGACAGGGCCAGGGCCCAGACTGACCCCAGGCTTTGCTTTAGTTTCTGGCTTTGGGGGATCTGTTTTGCCAAGTCGATAGACAAGCTCCAAGCCTCCTTTCCTGTAACAAATGAGTCATAAAAGAAAGAGATTTAAACATTACCCATATTATTCTGCCTTCAATAATGACACTCTGAAGTGCCCTGATTCAATTGTCCAGTCGCCCAGTGCCACTCCAGAGCTGTGAATTAGGGGAAATGCTACTCTCATCATTGGAGAGGAAGGTCCTTCTAGCACTGAAGGTCTCCCAAACATCTCCCTTCAGATGCCCAGCTTCATCCTCTGGGCACTACCTGGGAAACTGGCCTAACACAGACACCAGGAGAGACCGGGGCACTGGCCCCAGCTGCCTTTCCCGTTGTCTGAAAGAGCTCTTGCAAAGTGCTGTTATTAATATTACCAGTAATGTAACAATTAAAAATACTTAAAATACTCAAAATGTTTGAGACCTCTTATCTTATTCCTCCTCCTCTTCCCAGGCAGAGCCAAAGTAGACCCTCATTTTTATTCTTTACTTTGCTCTTCAGCTTGCTTGGGGCCCAGTGTAATTTGCCTAATCGCTCTGGTTACTGCTACCACTGCTGCTCTCATTGTGCTGAGTTCCCAATTCCGGAGGCTCGCCCCACTGGAGGGGCCTAGGGTTGGGGTAGGGGTAGAGAATTACAGCTTCCGAACTTCTCTTCAGCACAGCTAGTTCGAGGTTAAGCTCGACAAGATCTGCCAGTATCATGTGGCCAGATCCGTAAACCCCAGTAAGCCCCTGTCTCTGCTTGTACGTGTTATGTGGCAGAAATACAAACCACGGTCCATTGTCCCAGTGACGTTATAGACAGTGGAGCCTATATGCTATACACCACACAGTTATGTGCTATACACCTGACAAATCGACGTGTTCCAGGACCCAAACGGCCGGGCGCTTCCCAGGGGCCCTTCCAGGTCTCTTAGAGATTCGCCCCGATGGGTTTCGTGAAGCATCTCCAGACAATTATCGGAAAGTCAGAAAGAATATCTCCCCAAACAGTCTGTATTCATGGTGGAAATAATTTTATTTGTCCAGAATATACAGTTTAATTCCTCTATCTACACCTATTTACATGGTTAAAATAACATTGAAAAAAGTCTTTTGAAAAGTTGAGGTCATAGATTTCAAGGCACCATTGATAGTGTCCACGGATGCGCAAAAAGTTCGTCTATAAAAAAAGGGGAGGGGGTCCTTTGAAATGCAATAACTTACATGCACAAGCTTTACACACGAATCTGGGTCTCCGGTTGTTGGTTTTTAAACACTTCCCCACACGCATTCCTTTCATTAATATTCCTAAAACAGCAAAATATGGGAGTCCGGGCAACAGAGACAGAGCGCAAGCGGCTGGCACGAGGGCAAGGGGCTGCGCCCGCTCCTGTCTCTCTAGTAAAGCGTCCCGGAGGTGAGCGCCAGCGGATGCTGTAGGGAGCCGTGCGGCTGGAGGTGGGAATTGAGGGAACCGGCCCCGGGGTACCAGGACGCCGAGTTCTCCAGGTAGCTTGAGGCGGGGGACGGATTGGAAGCTGCAGGGTGGCCGTGAGGGTGGTGGCCAAGCGAGCGAGCTGCTGCCCCGCTGCCCGGAGGCTCCCACACAGCTGGAGACTGGGGAGAGTTACACGCCATGGGGTCACTGGAGCTTGGGCTGTGCTCCGGCGGCATCTCCCCGTTCTTCATGATCTTCTTAATCTTGGACCTTTTGTTCTGAAACCAGATTTTAACCTGGGTGGGGGGGGAACAAGTGCAGCGATTACGAGAACAGTCTGGGAGAGGGGATTTGAGCGGCCTGAGGTCTGTGTGACCTCTGACCAAACGACCCCCGCCGCGCCTTCCCTCGCTGTCCTGGTTGGGCCAGCCAGGGCAGCACGCTCCCCCTCTGCCCCCACTCACACTCCAGTCCCGGAGCCTCCTTCCTCATACGAGCCAGAGCCCGCATCATGCAAAGCTAGGGGCCGTGAACCAGAGCGATTCTGTTATTCCCTGCCTCTCTCCTTTTCTCCCGGTCTTTTTTCCTCTCCCTGGCTTTGGTAGCTCCAGGACACCTGGCTCAGCAGGGTTACTTCTGGCGCTCGACCCGGGTTCCACTTCTTTCCCGGGTGCGCCAGCTACCCGGCTTGGGCAAACGCTAGAGAACAGACACCTAGAAGCTCCCCGATCCCTCGCAACCTCTCTTCAGGCCCAGGCAGCCCTTCCTGCTTATTCCCGAGGTTCTCCTTCCCACCCACGTCCCAGGGGTAGGAAAAGGAGCAAAGCAGCAAAAGAGGGGGAAACGGCCTCTTTTCTCCTGGTGGGCACTGGCTGTGGGTAGGTGTATGTCAGTGTGCGTGGTAGGTGGAGGGGGCAGAGAGAGTGAAAATCGGTTTGCAGGAAGTCACCGAGATGACCTTTAGAGGGGAGAGGAAAGGAGAAAACAGGCGCCTAGGGGCTGCAAGGAGCCTATTTGGCGGCCCCCGAGAGCCGCAGGAGAGGAGAACGGACAGGACAGCTGGGCAGGCAGGAGTCAGACTCTCAGGAGGAGAGGGCAGCAAGAGGACAGATGGACAAGAGGCCGCGTGGGCAGAAGGACAGAGCTGCTTCTGCCCAGCCACCGGCTCGGGGCTCGAGAGACTTTCTTGGCCTTTCCACTAGGAGAGCAGAGGGAATGGCACTGTCAGGAGACGAGATGAGCCCCAAGACCCCAACACCCTCACGCTCCTCCTGCTCCCGGGGAAGCCCGACTAGCACCAGCGCTGGGCGGTTCCTTTGTTTCTGCCCACACAATGCGGGACCCCGAGGCACGATTCCGGGTCACCCGGCTGCCCAAGTCCTACCCCGCTCCAAGAAAAGAGGACCCATCAATTTAGAGCTGGGGTGGCGGGCCGCCAGCTCTGGGATGAGCACCTACCAGCACGTACCACCTCACTGCAAAGGCCTGGGGAGCCAGAAGTAGAAGCGGCCCGGAGGTGCCAGCCGAGTGAAAATGGGTAGAGTGCAACGCCTGGGCCGTCACTGCTACACTCAGAAGCCAGAGCTTTAAACGTAGGTAGGGGCTGGGGGGCGGGGGCGGGAGGGAGGGCGGTGGCTCCAGGTCAGGATCCCCGGCTAGGGAACCCAACGGGCTTCTGGCTTTACCTGTGTCTGCGTGAGGCCCAAAGACGCCGCCAGTTCGGCGCGTTCGGGCAGGGCGAGGTATTGGGTCTTCTGAAACCGCCTCTGCAGGGCAGCCAGCTGAAAACTGGAGTAAATCGTCCGGGGTTTGCGAACCTTCTTGGGTTTGCCATTCACCATCCTCACCTCGGGCTCTGCAGAGTCTTTGTCTAAACCGTCAAAAACAGAGCGGGTTAGGGCCCCGCTGAGGAAGGAGGCAGCTTCCTGCCCGCATGCCTGGCCTCCCCTTCCAGAGATTGGAACGAATAGGGCGCCGCAGGGCCCCGCCAAAGTCCCCTGGAGCCCAGACTCCAGGGTTTTCTTCGCAACAATACTCTCCCTCCCTTGTTCCACATTCTCTCTCTCCTCTCTAAGTGGCAGAAAGGCCAGGTCAGGTCAGATAGATTTCGACCTGTCTGTCTTGTTGCCCCGTCTGTTCAACCCGGCTGCTTTCTCTGCGTATATGAGCCTTGCCAACCTCCTGCCCCGCGTTCTTTTGGGGACTACTTTCGCCTCCCCCTCCCCTCCCATGGCGGGGACAGACAGAGCAGAGCCGGGCACTGTATGCGACGGGTCCAGAACTTGGTGTGGACTCTGCCGCCGCCGCCGCGCCGCCCTCGGAGCCCACACTCCCTGACCCAGAGGCCGCGAGCCGAGGTCTGCCAAGTTCACAGAGCCACAAGCAAGCACTCGGGGATCCTTCCTCTGAGCTGAGCTGCCCCAGACAGAGGGCTGATTATCCCAGGCCCATAATCTCCCTGCAGATCGGCTAGGACACAGATGCGTCTGGTTTCTTTTACAAATAGACTTAACAAGCCCTTGGCAAAAAAAAGGGGGGGGGGGTTGTCGTTCATTTAATGAACGAAACAGAGAGACAGTGAAAGAAACCAAGCCTGGCCGGCTCTTGGGCTCTGCGTAAAGGGCAGCAAAAAGCAGGGGGTGGGGAGAAGCAGGACAGACAAACGTGCGGAGCCACAGACAGCGGGCGTGCTGCAAAGAAGATTGAGAGTCTTCGTAACAAAAGGGAAATGCGGAAAGGCCGAGAAAAAAAAAAAAACAAAAAAACTCTAGGGCGTCTTGCGATCTGCCCAGCGTTAAACGCCAAAAAAGAAGAGGGGTGGGGAGAAGGGATTGAGAGACAAAGAGCCCTCTCTACGGCAAGAGTCCCTCCAGCCCCCAAGAAACGATTTTATCAGAGGCCTCATCTCCCAACTTGGTGAGACTTCAGAGAAGTAACTCGTGTGTTGTGTGGTGTGTGTGCGTATGTGTATGTAGTGTGTGGTGTGTATATGCATGCATGTATACGGGCGTGTGCAGTGTGTGTACATATGCATGTATGTGGTGTAGTGTGTGTGTGTGTGTATTTGTGTGGTGTGTGTGGTATATGCACTCAGCACAGCTCTTGGTGGGGAGGAGGTGCTGGAGGCCGAGAGAAGGCTGTGGTTTGCTTCTGCCAGCTAAGGGATGCTAATATTAGAAGGATTATTCATGTGCTGAGGGTGGGAAGAGCTCAAAGCCCATCAGAAAAACCTCCCTACAAAGACCCCCCACTTCTGACTGCTGAGCCGCCGCCGCCCAAGCTCCCGAGCCTGCAAACTCTGAAACCAGCCTAGGAGGGAGGAAAGGAGGGTGTGTGTGTGTGTGGGGGGGGGGGGTGATCGAGAGGAGAGAACATACTAACATTACCTACTCGTCCAGTCACACACACACACCACAGATGGTTAGATGGCTTCTGAAAATGCTGAACTGAAAAAGTCAACTGCGTTCTCGCAGCTCCTGCGCTCGAGTAACTGACTTCGCTCGGCAGATGAAGCTGACGGGCCTCGGGCGCAGGCGGAGAGTGCTGGGCGCCCGCAGCTGCCCTGAGACTGGCCCAGGGCCTAGCTGGTTTTCTCCTCTGAGCTCAGTGCCCCAAGCCCAGCAGCATTTTCCCCCGCTCCACCCTCCCAACGCCGGTCTTCTTTACTCAAACTTGCCGGCACTGGGATTCTTTCTGCCCAAGTCACCTCTTGAGCCCCGGCCAGCAGCTGTGGAGGGGGGACCCTCCAAGCTAGGCTAGCCCAGAAGGCGGGGGTCTAACCACAGATAGAGGCAACCTACAACCAGAAGACCTTGGACCCTTGCGGATTTATCTGTTGGCTGCCCTTTCCTCGAGGGGCGCAACCCCCTCTCTCCTCTCAGTTCTTTCTTCGGCTGCCTCGTGTTCCCCTGAGCGCTTTCTACCTCTCTCTTGGTTCTCTCCCCAGCCCCGCCCGTTTCAAGGCTCTCCACCCGGCCCGGCCCGGTCCTCACCTGGCTGGCCCGAAGAGCTCTGTGCCCGACCATAAGCCCCACTGTACTGGGGATGGTAGGAACTGGCGTAGCCGTAGTCCGCGTACGCTTTGGCGGGGTAGGTGCCGGGCGGCGGCCCGGCTGCGGCCCCGCTCACGCCGTGGTAGGGATACTGGTAAGGATGCGGTGCCTTGCCGTAGGAAGCTGCCGGGGGCGAGCAGTAGCCGTGCGGGGCACCCCCCGCCGGGCTGTAATAGTCGGCATCTGTGGCCGAGGATTCTGGCAAAGTGGGCGACTCCTGAGATGGGTGATGCATGGCTGCGGCCGTCTGAAAAGGAGCGGGGAACTCACTGGAGCGGATGCTGGGACCCCTCCGGTCAAACACCCCGGTCATAGTTCAGCGGCGGAGGCCCACACCCAGGCTGTGCAAGTGGTTGTGGCTGCGGGGGCGGAGGCTCGAGTTCGCTCTTGGGGCTGCTTCGGTCTAAGCAGACATGGCTGTGGGAGAGGAGGAGACAGAGAAGGAGGGGGCAGAGGAGGAGGCGGGGGTACTGGAGAGGGAGGAGGCAGAGGAGGAGACGGGAGTGCAGGAGGGGGAGGAAGAGGAGGAGGAAGATGAGGAAGAAAAGGAGGAGGAAGAAGAAAAGAGGCGGCGGCGGCGGCGGCGGCGGCGGCGAGGAGACTGGGAGCCCGCGAGTCTCGGGCTCGGGCAGACTGCTGGCGGGACGCAGCCTAGCCTTGGTTAAATCCTTAATTGAGCGCTTACGCACAGCGGGGTGGATCGGGTTCCATTGGCCAGAGCCGTCGGGAGCAGCGACACTCGAACTCACCCAACTCGTTCAGCTCCTTGACAAAGCTGGGCTTTTTTAAAAAAAAAAAAAAAGTGTGGGGTGTGTGTGTGTGTGTGTGTGTGTGTGTGTGTGTGTCTGTGAGAGAGAGAGAAAGAGAGAGATAGAGATAGAGAGAGAGAGACAGAGAGAGAGAGAGACAGAGAGACAGAGAGGGAGGCAGAGCCTGTGTGATTCGCAGTATGGGATGGAGGAGGGTTCCCAGGGGGATCTCGCAGGAGCTCTCTCCTTCCCTGCCCCCGCACTTGACCCGGACCAAGACACACTCGGACACACGGAGAAAGACTCGGACACTTACTCGAACACAAGCACACATATGCGCACTTCCTCGCATTGACACCACCTTGAAGGAAGGCCCGCTCCGGATTCGAGGGCGCCAGTGCCCTGGGGAGCAGGGAGCCTTGACAAGGGGTGGGGACGAAGCTCGGGGTCTGGCGTGGGGAGGCCTAGGCCCGTTAGGCCAAGAAAAGCAGAGTTCTTCATTTCTCGAAGAGAGGTTGGTCAATGGGGATCGTCAAATTGGGGAATTTCAAATTCGGGGAAGCTAGATGGAGCATTTCCTTCTCCGAGACACATCTGGCTAAGAGGCCCTCACTGGGCTGTGGGCGGATGCACACTAGGGCATGCACCGCCGCACGGGATCACATCTCGCAAGGGCACACACATCACGCACTCTGGGCCGCACCGGGTCATAAGCGGCTCCTTAAGCTTTCCCAGTCCATGGATGTAAGTCCAGGGAAGACTCCCACACCCCAAAGCTAGGCTTGACGAAGCTATCTTTGCAGGCGCCCGCTCCTCTTTCCCCCCTCTTCTTGCTTCGTGTCCCCCTTCTCTCTCCCTGGCTCACCGGGCTCCAACAGTCCTAGAAGTTCTGAAGCCATGGACCGTTCAACATGGGTCTTGGAGGTCAATTGCAAAACGCACTCTCAGAAAGCAAACCAAGACACTGGTCTCTGGTCCTTCCATTTGCACCAAGAGAAAACGTGGAGGAAAACAGAGCCGGTGCCAGCTGCGGGCCAAGCTCGAGGAAAGCTGCTCCATCCCTCCTTCCGTGACCAGGAGCCACAGGGGCCTCACTGTATCCTTGGGCCACGGGTCCTTCCATTTCTACAATCCAGGAGAGGACCCTGGGAATGCCCTGGCTCTCGGTCTGTTGCCCCTGGCCTCGTTGTTCCATTATCTTCTCCACTATCCCTGAATATTGCCGCCGCCGCCGCAACCCATCACCCTCCCGCCTCCCAGTTCCTTTCTTAAAACCAGAGAGACAGAGAGAGACAGAGAGACAGAGAGAGAGAGAGAGACAGAGACAGAGAGACAGAGACAGAGAGAGACAGGCAAAAACAGACAGAAAGACAGAGACAGACAGACAAAGAGACAGACACAGAGAGAGACACACAGAGAGACAGAGATAGAGACAGAGAGACAGAGAGAAAGAAAGACAGAGAGAGAGATTTAAAAGGGATTTCTCTCTCTCTATCTCGCCTTAGGCTCCGCTCTCAAAGCCTCAGGAATCCCCTTCCTTTTTTCCATCTCCCTCCGCCCCAAGAAGTAAGGCTGGGAGTTGAAGGTACATGGGGCACATTCCTAGCAGCTTCTCCAAGGCAGGCGGGAGCCCTTTCCCAGAAGGACTGTCCACTTTAGGCCAGTGCTCGCTCGGTGTCTGAGTGTGCCCCCTCGAGCGCCTGTGTGTAAGGAGCTGTGCTCTTCATTGTTTCCACACAACAGTACCCCTCCCCACCCAGAAGAAAAAACTGCTCTAGGGAAGGTGGAAGGAGAGGAAAAGACGACTCTCCGCATGTTCTGGCTTTAAATACGAAACAAGACTAAAAGGCACACGCGGGCAAGTTTGGACAATAGTCTCAAGACCCTCGACCTTCTGGCCTGGAACTCCCTCATCTGAACCCACACTCGCACAGCCCCGGGACCAAGGAGCGGAGCCAGGCGCCTTGCCTGGCCACAGCGACGCCCCAGCCCGAGCTCCTCAAAGTGCTTCCTCCACCAGCACCCCGACCCTGGGTCTCGTCAGTGTAGACTGAGGCTGCCTGGTGCTGGCTAAGCGTCTAGGGGAGGTAAAATGCGTCAAGGGCTGGACAGCGGGTCCAGCGGCCCCAGGACCCTCACGGCTCAAGCCTCCGGAGCCTCTTCTGAGGGTCTGGACCCCGGCTGGGCTGGGCCTTTCTGCCGCGAAAGAAGCCGAGTAAAGCGTGGCTGAGGTCCGGAGCTCGATGAGTGGACAGCGAGCCACCCGCACTTTCGTCGGCCAGGCCAAATTGCCAGCAGCTTTGGCCAAAAGCGCAATCAGCCACAGTCTCACCCCTCCCCAACCCCTCCTGCTTCTTTTTAATTCTTTAACAACTCTGTGTGTGTGTGTGTGTGTGTGTGTGTGTGTGTGCGCGCGCGCGCTCTTCCTCGGTTCACGAACTCCACCTTCCTGTGCCATTGGCCAGCCCCTCTTCTCTCCTCGCTGCCCACCGTTTCCCGTGCTCCCCTGGCCCCAGGTGTAACCACTACGGGGCAGCTGTTGCTGCCGGATCAGTCCAACTCTGGCCTTCCGTTCAGGCCCATCAGTGGCTGTGCTCCCGCTCCTCATCCCAAAGTGCGTGTGCTCGTGTGTCTGGGTGTACATTTCGTGTAGGGAGCAGGGGATGGGGGAGGAGGGGCCTCTGTCCTCTCTCCTTTCGGGGCACGGTGGGTGAGTGTCCATGGCAGGGTCGGGGGCGCCAGCTCTGACTCTCAGTTCCCACTCAGTTCTCTCGCGCCTCCTCCCTCAGGTTTTTAGGTGAGCAAAGGGTGGGGGGGGGGCGGTAACGTCGGGAGGACCCCTCCCCTAAAGGGGTCTGCAAACTCGGGTTCTTCTCCGCCCTCCCCCAGATAAGACCCCTACCAAGCCCCAGGAGGTTGGGGGGAGAAAGCTGGAACTCTCCAGCCCAGCCCACATCCACGCTCCTAGGCGGCAGAGGCACAGAGCGAGCAGGGGGGCGCTGTGCGCTGTCGCCTGAGAGCCCAGTCGAATGCCTGTGCCACGAGCGCCACCTTGTGGCTGAAGAGAGCAGCTGTCCAGCGCAGGCCGCCTTAGCCAGGTACCTAGAGAGAAGCGAGCATCAGCAGGCAGCAGCAAACGTCTCGTGCCTGGCCACGTGGCTGCCAAATACTTCTGGTAGACGAAGAAGTTCATGCTGAAGAGATGAGGGGACTTTCCCAAGAACAAGCAGAGTGGCTGGTGATCTTACCACCCTCTCCCCCAAGTGCCTCTCCCTCATTCCCACCCACTTTGCTTCCGCCTCCTTCCCCATGGCCAGCCCAGGGTTGCTGTAATGCCCTCCCTCCAAGGCCAGGATCGGTCTTTGCCCTTCTTCCCTTGGGCTGCAAGCCTCACCCTTCAGTCACTGCCCACCTTCCCTGCACTGACCTACAGAAGAGGAAAGCCTGTTTTCACTGCCCATGCCTAGAGAAAGCTGTTCGGTCTCTGGCTGAGACAGAGGCCCTCCCCGAATTATCCACAAACATACGCGCATATACACACTCCCCGCTTCACTGGGAGCCTCCCTTCACAGATGCAGACCAACATTGCCCTCCCAGAATGCTAGATGAAGAGCTGAAAGGGACTTCAGAGATCATCAAGTACACCCTCACCACACCCTGATTTTACAGATGGGGAAACTGAGGCCCACAGAGTCAAGTGGCCAAAAGCCAAGCAAGTAGTAGTTAATAGCAGAGCCAGTTCCTCTGACTCCAAATGAGCTACTCCTCCTGAACCGTAGCTGGGACACTGGGAAAGTAAGTAACTTTTGCAAGGCCACACAGCCCTTGTATCCCAAGCAGAATGTGGACCCAGGTCTTTTATCTCAGAGCTGGCCCTCTGTCCTTTTATTTTGACTGTCTCTTCCTGTCAGATGCTATGGTAGAGTGAGGCTCAGCTTAGAGGATTACTCCTACCTGACTTACAGAAAGTAATAAGATGTCTTCGTACTTGAAACATTGAGAAGACATCGATGACTAGATATGGACATCACTAGGTATGGACAAGGATTGGTCATGTCAATCAATCAGAAGATTTAGAGTACATAAAAAAACCCTCATCAATTTAGGGATCTTTGCAAGGAATGGGTTGCGATTGGTTGAGGGGCTAGGTCCTGCCGGTGTGAAAATCCAGTGAGTGAGTTGGCATTGGGGAACATGGTATCTAATAGGTCAGTGGTAGAAGACTGCAGACAAACTCCAGCAGAGGAATTGAGTGGGTCAGGAGAGTGGAAGTGGAGGGAGGTGTGCCTTAGCCTTGGGTCATTCTCCTCCAGCCTTGATCAGAGGAGTCCCTGTGGGCTTTGAAGGGTTATAGCATGTGGAGTTTTGCATTAGTCTCCTGGCAGTGTCCCTGGGACAGTGCAGCTGTCAGAAATGTCTCCATCAGGAGATGAGGACAAACTAGGCACATTGAGGACTGCACAAGGAGCCTAGCAGAGAAGCTGCACCATATGGAAGGAAAGTCTTGGGGACTGCAGGGGAGGGGAAAGCACCTTCTGGAAGCTGTTACCTTCTTCATCACATA